AACCATCTAATTTTTAGATAAAGTATCAATTATTCTTTAAAACCAAAACAACCTTTTTTATGAGTTTTTGATTTAATTTGTGAGAAAAAATCATCTGTGGCGTCTATGTCGTATTGTTGATTGTTTCTCATTTGTTCATGAGACAGAGACAATCAATGGACATTCTCTGATAAACAAAAAAAAACTTCATAAGAAAGCAACAACAAAAATCCATTGAAAAAAAAACTTCAACCAAAACCAAGCATTGATATGCATCGATTATGTGTTTCCCTCTAAAACGTACTCAGCAAGCGGACCAAATCATCGACAGTGGCTCACAATGAACGCTCCCTTTTCATGCACCTCTCTCTCTATCTTCGTTCTATCAATGAACGTTTCTTTTCTTCATCTCTTCTCTTTATCACGCTTTCGCATTTGCCGGCGTAAACACATTAAACGTCACGTGGTGCTGAAACGGTTTGACACTTCGTTCCGCGCTCATTGAATCGGCTCAGTATTAGTCGTGTTTGTGATACGTCGCTAGAATAATTGCCGCGTGTTTATTGTGCATTGCACACATTGTGTTTGGATCAAATAAAAACCATTTTTTGCCGCGTTTCTGAAGAAAAAAAAATCGAGTCTTTATGAATTTAGTTGCAGAAGAAGCCGTAAAGCTGTGAAACATTTTCCGAGGAAAACATTTCTGCACGATTTACGTCGCAGTGTCAACAGGTGAAGGTAAGACATGACTTTTGGTCGGTGCATGCATGTTTTTGTCGGGTTAATTGTACATAAAAGCAGTGGCATTTCTCGATGGAGAGATTAAACCTCATGTTTCATTATTATGAAATTGTTGCACTGATCGGTTTATGTCAGAGCTTTAAGGCGGCAAACGCCATGAAAATCCAACCACAATCATCGGACGTTGCGAACAACACATAGAACGCCGAACATTTTGTTGTTGCATCAATTGCGTCTTAGTCTAAATGTGACATGCATGAATATTATGTTTATGTGTTTGTGAAGAAAATCCGGGTGGAATCAAATACGAGTAGAATCATATACGTAGTTTTGGAAGTCAGTCCTTTTTAAATGATTTCATTGCGACTAAAAATCTGATTTTCACTTCAGAAAATTTTCAAGAAGAGACGTTTGTCGAAAACGTATTTTACACTGTTAAACTCTTGGAATTCTTCACATTTACAGATACCATTGAACCACAACAATTTGAAAATGGCACCAAAGCGGGCATTTTCAATCGAAAACGGTGCAAGTTCATCTCGAGATGAACCAGATGCAGCCAAACGACGCCGAACAGCTGATCCATACTGTTGGGTGTGCCATCAGAAAGACACAAATGTGTACTGCAAAACATGCTTGCGGTCCTATCATTCACAGTGCGTGGGTCCAAAGTCGACCAAGGAAATCCAATGTGAAGTGTGCATAAGAGAGGATTTGGCCAAAAGCAACGACGCCAAATGGTAAGTTTTGATCCTTTCATTCGGCCAGTTGTTAGATTAGAAAATAGTCTGAACGTCTTTCTGCACTATTTTCGGAATTAATTCAATTTATGCTTTTTTGCTTGGCTTATTGAATGATTCGAGCGACCCATTCGTCGAATTGAAATCGAATCGTATACCATTGAAATCCATTCAATCAATTTTATCACAATTCCATTTGATTTCCCTTCTTTTCCTTTAGGCACGAGAATTTGAAACGTTTGAATGGTCTTTTGGAATATATCATGAAGCGGTTGCTTGATAGTGACGAGGTTTGCATTTAAATGTTCATTCATTTTTCTAAATCGTCCCTTGAAGCAATTCCAATTCCTAAACTCAATTCTGTTCTTCATTTGTTTCAGTTCACAGTCTTGAGTAACAACTACTTTCAAACAAAGTTACCGGTCGAATCAAGCATTGTGAATGCATTCGACTTGAGCTACATTCGAAACCGGGTGCAAATCAGCGAATATGAAACGCCATTGCAGTTTCTCAATGACATCAGATGGATCAAGCATAACATCATTGCATCAGGTAAATTGTGTAGAAGGTGAAAGAATTTAGGGGATTTCTTTGAGAACTAGCGATGAAATTTGATTAAAGAAAATGATGAAAAAAATAATGAAAAAAAATTCCAACAAAACTAAACACCTTGTTTCAACTCTTTCCAGGCAACCTTGCCGAATTGGCGGTTGCAAAGCGGCTTGAACAGTTCTGCAAAAAGGTGAGTTTTAATGTCAAGTGTAGTTTATCAAGTGTTTGTTTCATATATGCTTCACAATGAAAAGCCAATCTGATTTTTGATTGAATGGAAATCTAATTATTTGCATTCCGGCTCATATTCTAGGAGGTGTACGACATCGAAATGTGTGTAGATTGTTTTGCACGTTCGAATAGTGAAGACCGTTCATCTTGGTTCACACAGGTTTGTGATCCACCCCATTTATTGGTATGGGCACGTGAGATTGGCCATCGACCGTTCAAACCAGGTAAATCTTGAGCATATCTCGAATGTAATTATCATTTTTACCGATTTTATCACGTACCTCTCTTTTAAACCAGCCAAAGTGATTGGTGTCAGCGGCAAATCGCTCAAAAGTAAAATTGATGTACGATTCTTCGGTGATCATGATATGGCTGATGTTTCGCTCATCGACTGTTACCTCTTCTCCAAAGAGAATCCAAACGGAAAAACCGATGACAAGAATAGATTGGTTCTCATCAGCAGTTTGGCGGTGAGTTGGCAATTGGATTGAGAGAAAAATAAATCATCAGAAAGTTCTGATTTCATTAGAAAAATTGTTCATTTGCTCAACAAATAAGAAACGATTCCATTTTCAGGAGGCTAAAAAATACATCGAAAATATTGAGAAGAAATTTGAATGCAAATTTGTGGAGTATAAAACAAAGACACCATTTAATTCCAGTCGAATAGCCGAATACTTGAAGGATATGGTGCCAAACGTACAATTGGCGGCCGATTATCGGCTGAAAGTCAAGCCAATTTACTTGAATCCACCACAGCGACGTCGAGGTCCGCTTCGTTCTAAATCGAAAGTAGCCTCTTCAAGCCCGGTTCCGCAGGTTTTCAACGGAACATTGATGGAAACTCGCGTTGTGCTTGAAAATTGCGATCACTTGGTGGAACGATACAAAAGAAAGGATGGCGTGGATCGTTATGAGACGATTGATGGAAAGGGACCTGACGAAGTGGTAACAGACCGAAATTCAGAAGACGAAGATCGTAAGCCGCCAAATGGTGTTGATCAATCGATGAACGATGAAACATCGAACCAGGTATCTGAGACAGAAGATGCCGTAATCATCAGCGATGATGATGATCCGTTCATGACCACGCATCAAGCTCAGAGCGAATCTTTGGAGCAAATTGAAAATCAGGAATGTGATCAAGATGCACTGCTATCGACACTTGGTAAGCGTAAGCCTTTCATTATACGCGGTTCATTCTGGCATGAAAATGCTACAAGATTGGTCTCTCTGCAAATAGAACCGCTGGACATTTCTGAACAATCGACTGAAGATGACGATAAAGCAACAGCATCGAATCACAGCGAATTTGATTTGATGGCTCACAATGATGTTATCGAAGAAATCGTTGAAAATATCGTAGTTTCGGATGCCTCCACCGATGAAGATATTCCCGAAAATGTTTTGGAACTTGTTCCGGATATTACGGATACAGATGAAGTGAATGAACCGGCCGACAATTCGATTGAAATCAACGAAGATCTAACTATCAGGAGCCAGTCGCTGGCCGACGAATACGTTCCCGTTTCAGATGAACAAGTGGCAACATTGATTGAATCAAAATCAAACAATCAAGAAGAGGTGTTTATGTCTAGCTTCGATAATGCTATTGGAGCTGAAGAACTTGGCGAAAACATAGAGCAAATCGAAGAGACTGTAGCTCAAAATGATGTGTCCAATCATAGTCAATCACACAGTTTTGTGGAAGAATCACAAGAAATGACACAAAATGAAAACGAAACAGAACAATCTGATCATGAAGCGGAACACACCGACCATGAAATGATATTGGATAAGTCAATCCAAACCTTGCCACCGTCATGCATGAAGATTAAGCCATCGGCCCAGTCAACTCCATTTAAATCGATCGATGAACCAACCCAAGTAGCTCCGATCGATCCAGTAATCCAACCAGCTTTAATCGATCAACCAACTCAACCAGCTCCAATCGATCAACTGACCCAATCAGCTAAGCTCGATCAATCGATCGAATCTACTCCAGTCGATGAACCATTCCAATCGACTCAGATCAATCAATCGATTGAATCGACTTTGATCGATGAACCTATCCAATCGACTTCGATCGATCAGCCAGTTCAATTGACTCCAATTGATCCACCTGAAAATAATGAAAACGACATGCATGCGCGTCAAGAAAGCAATGAAGGCGCTAAAAAAACAGAAAGTGATGCAATGTTAGAGCTTCGGTTGGAATATAAAAAGGTACTTGTGGCATATCAAGATATGGAAAAGCAGACCAACGAAGCGCTCCAAATAGCTCAATCTCAAAGCAATATTATCACGAGACTAGAGGCTCAAGTGACAGGTCTGACGAAAGACCTATCTTTCAAGCAAAATGAACTGGCCAAAATGAAAGTGGATTATGCAGCCGAATTGCTAAAAGCAATCGAGGAGACAAAGAAGAAGATGTGGTGTCGAAGCTGCGGAAATGAACTGGTCAAACCATTTCATGGATTATTGCATGCAATGGTGTGCAGTGCACAATGTCTACAGATGACGTGGTAAGTCTTCGATTGACATTTATATTGAAGTAAATGACTGATTCCGATTGATTTTCAGGGCCAACGAATGCCAAACCGGTGAGAAAACCTCGATGAATTCAACGGTGCAATCATCAGGCAATGAGGTATTTCATTATC